TAGTTGCTCTCTGGAGGGCCCAGATGTCATGTTGCCTGACCGTATGTATTTCTGGGATCCTCTCCCACCCTGTTTGTGCTTCCCTCTCGTGATCTGCTCTCTCTCCTCCCCCATCCATTTCTTCTTCTGGGAGCTATTTTATCTCCAAATTTCCAGGCTCACTCAGAATTGGAGTCCCATACCACTGCCGGTGACAAACGGCTGTTTGGAAAAGAGGGAGGAAGGACAGAGGCAAGTAGGCCTGAACATCAGGTGAAAATCAGAGTTGGCCAGGAAGTCTGGGTGCTGGTCCTAGCCCTGCCAGTGACCTACTTTCTCACAGACCCTGGGGCAGGACTGGCCAAGTCAAGAGAATGAACCAAACCCTTTGGAAGGTGACCTTGATCCTTTGAACAAGCAGCACCCCTCTTCTCCCGTCAGGCATCCTTACCTGACAAGGATTTTTTTTCCTTCTTTTAAGCGCCTGGCATTTAGTCAATACCTTTTTTGTGGCAGGCACGTTTCAGGGGCCAGGGACACAGATCCGGATCAGGAAGTGCTCTGTGAAGTGTCAGTGTGACAAATGGTCTGGAAGCAGCGGGCCCAGGGTGCTGTAACCCAGGTTAGGAGGACTGTGGCCGGCACTGGGGAAGGCTTTCCTGAGAAGGTGCCATGTGAGCTGTGTGGGAGTTCCAGGAGGAGACAGTCAAGTTGGCATGTATGCAGAGGGAAGCAGGTGGTTCAGGCTGGAGGAAAGGCTGGGCAAAGGCAAGAAGACATGACCCAGCATGCCCGTGGGGGGGTGGGGGTGGGGGCTGGAAGTAGTTCCGTGTGGCAGGCGTGCAGGATGGGCTGTTGGGCCGTGAGCTCACACCCGAGGCCCACCAGGCCATACGAAGGGGTTTGAGTTTGCACACAGGGCCCGTGCTTCTCCAAACTGAGCCTGAAAAGCACTCAGGAAGACTATTAGGAGACAGACCCCTGGGCCTTACTCCAGCCTACAGAATCAGAACCTCCACGAGTCAGACCTCGGAATCAACCCTTCGCCGTGTCTCAGGAGAGTCCGCACAGGCCCAAGGAAGTGGTGGGGGAGTTCTAAGCAGGGGAGAGGCAGGCACAAGGGAAACAAGTCCCAGTGCTCTCCTGGGCCTCTGCTGGAAAGAAAAGTCCCTGGGGCTATGAACAGCATCCCCAGAAGCTTCTTCCAGGGTCCGTTGCCTGTGTGTTGAGACCAGGTGTCTCATGACCGAGACAGGGGCAGGCACAGAATTGGGGTTTCCGGTTGGACAAGCTCCCCCAGGTAGTACAGTAGAGGGACGGGAGAGGTGTCCCTCCCACCCCATTCCCACGCCACTCACCCCTAACGGTGTCACCTTATAGGACCATCTCTCACCCATTCCTTCATCCTACATGAAACCCGATTTCCACATCCTATACGGCTCCTTATTCAAGCTGCGTGTTCAGAACGTGTTGGGGGAAGGTGAGGAGGAGGACTGAGGCCGTGTTTTCACCCAGGCTAAGGGGAAGGAGGCTTCTTGGGATGGTGGGTTTCCTTAGTTGTTCAAAGCGGTTCCCTAGTTGTACGAACCCTAGGAAGAAGGCTATGTGATGGCTTCGTACCTCCTAGTGTGATTGTGTCCCTCCTCCTAGACTTCTCTCCAGAAAATGGTAATGACGGATTCTGATACACAAGGCGTAAATTAGTTCTCCAGTCCAGAAACGTGCTGTGCTCAAGGGAGCCCACCTCCTAGGGGTTCCCACGACACAGAACAGCACCCAAGCTCCTCACCCGGACCCCAGAGGAGTCACCCCTGCTTTGCAGCTTCAGCCCTGCCCTTGCCTTTTTTTTTTTAATTTTTTTTTAACGTTTATTTATTTTTGAGACAGAGAGAGACAGAGCATGAACAGGGGAGGGGCAGAGAGAGAGGGAGACACGGAATCTGAAACAGGCTCCAGGCTCTGAGCTGTCAGCACAGAGCCCGACGCGGGGCTCGAACTCACGGACCGTGAGATCATGACCTGGGCTGAAGTCGGACGCATAACCGACCGAGCCACCCAGGCGCCCCACCCTTGCCTTTTAACCAGTGTAACTTTTGCACTTTAGAACAGTGAAACCAGGCAGTTTCACACCTGGATGCCTGTGGTTATGCTAATCTCTCTGACAGAAATGGTTCTCCCACCCCTCCCCCTCTGTCTGGCCAACTCCAAGACCCACTCTCTGCGATACCCCTCCCACCCAACACACACCTCAGTCTTGCTGTTCCTGGGAGCAGACCTGTATACCTCCACCCTGTGCTACCCTGCCTGGGGAGCACTCAAATGGAAGTTTTGTTTCCCTTCCCCTGCACCAACTTGACCAGAAATTCCTCAAGGACAGGGCTTATGGTATTACATTGTGTCTTTTCAGTGCCTGGCACGTAGTAGAAACTCAACAGATATTTGCTGAACCAGACAGAATCCAGATGAATGAGAAGCGCTCTCAGACATGTGAATGCCGTGATAATTTAATAGCTTGTGAGGATTTGCCTGTTGGTATTTTTAGATGGCTTTTAAAACCTCTATAGAGATGTGACACCCATTCCCCCTACATTAAGTGTAAAGTAACAAACGTAATGAGTCAACTGAAGGTGATTATTTGCATCTCAAAAGGCGGGGGGAGCAGGTTTCCTTTAAACAGTAAGCTTTTGCTGGAACTTTCAGAAACTTGCCTTGCAGATCATTAACTTCTGGGGGTGGGGAGCAGGAGTCCTAAAGTTACCCTTAAGAGTCTGAGCTCTGAGAGCCTCTGGAAGAAGGAAGCAAGGCAGAAGATCGTGGAGCCATACAGGACTGGATTCAGATTCTGACTATATTAGCTGTGGGCCCTCAGGCAAGTCGTGTAACCTGTCTGTACCCCAATTTCCTTATCCCTAAAGTGGAGATGTACTATACTGACGTTGTGATTGTTGTAAAGACCTAAAGGATCCTATATTGAGTACCTTAGCTCATAGAAATTCCCCAGTAACTGTAACAGTACTGTAGTTAGCCTTGACACCGCACACGGAAGAGAGGTTTGCAAGGTTTACGGGACTTTACCCTGGATCGCAGAAATAAGAATGGCAGAAGGTATCCAGACAGGGAGGGCCAGACTGTGCGGCAGCGTAACTTTGCTCTTACAGCACTTCACAAGTTTTTGATTCTTTAAACTAAATCCTTCCATGCTGAATGTGCACAAGCAGAAGGCTGGCGACAGCGCCGGGCAGTGTGGTTGAGGGGAGGGTCTCGGACTCTAGAGAGCCTACCACTCACTAGCTCTGGGATCCTGGCGAGATCACCTCACTCAGTTTCCTAAGCTGTAGAAAGGATGCTCCGTACACCCTCCATAGACGGCACATAACCGTATTATGAAGTGATCAGGATTAATCAACAGCACAAAGTGCCCTGTTGGAGGAACTGATTGCTCTGGGAATAATGGAGAGAGAGGGGATGCAAGAGCTTTGGTCCCAGGCTTTGGACACCTGACAGGAGAGAGCTGTTTGAGCTTGCGTGTGTTCTGTAACACAAAGGGTTTGCCCTAGATAATCCCTTGGGTTCCTAAAGTAGCCCAAGGCCAATCTAGCACAGTTCCCCAAACAGCTGCTCTCGGGCCTGGGGGGTTGTGCCCGGATGGCCCCACCTGCTGCAGGATAAGTCCTGCCCACTCCAGAGCCAGGCCTCCTCTGGAAACCATCCTTCCCGCGCCCCCCCCCCCCCCCCCCCCCCGTATTGTGTGGTCCTCATTGTGCCCGTGCCTGTCATCTGGATGGTGACGGTAGTAAGCAAGGTACAAACAGCAGAGCAAACCATTTTGAGTGAGAAGCTTGTCATCTGAAGCAAAGATGGATGAGCACTTTGCTTTTGTAGAGATTTCTGGAATCTCCCGGGTCCTAACTCTTTTGCTGTTTCCCGTCCTTTGTGTAGAAATGTTTGGTAACAGGTGAGATTCTGTTACCTCCCTCTGGGTGGAAAGAGAAAGAAAGCCCCGTCGGTTTGGGTCACAGCTGCAGGTAAAGGCATATAGTACAACAATGGTTTTCGGAGTAGATTCCTTAATGCCCCTTACCCAAAAGCCCTTGGCTGCTACTTGCTCCCGGGTGTGGAAGAAGCGACCCGGTCTCTTCAAGAGTCCCCAGGACTCTGAGAACCGATCCCTATCCCAGGGGCTGGCAACGCAGGGACCAGGCTCTCCCCCTGACCGGGCAGGATGAGGGAGCCCGCCTCCACTCCGGGTACCCGCGAGCGTCTGCAAAGGGCACCTCGGAGAGGGCGGACCGAGACCTCGGGAAAAGTTGTCTAAACAAAGGGCATTCCTTAGCTTCCCCCGGGACAGCCGAGCCTGCTCCCCAAGCCCCGGGTGTGGAGTTGCACGCTTCCCCGGGGAGCCGGGGAGGAACGCGGGGTCTTCCTGGCCCTCGCCCGCGCGGAGCCGCGTCCCCCGCTGCGCACGCCCCGAAGCCTGGCCCGGCCCCGCGCCAAGCGGTCGGTCCCCCGGCGCCCGGGCCCCGCTCGTTCTCCCGCCCTTGGGACGCCCCGCCGCCGCGGCCGCGAGAAGGAG